CCCGTCCCTCGGGGGCGTCCCCGGCGATGCTGGCTCTGGCCGAGCGCCGTCGCTCCCTAAATAAGAGCAGTGAGGCTGTGACAGATGCGCCAAATCAACGTCCCCGGGAAGGCAAGGCAGTAGGAGCTACCGGAGGAAAATACTGTATTACGTGCTAAATTTAGGGTCTGTGCAGCGTACCAAAAAGCCAGCCGTCACATTAGTTAGCGATTTTATTCGCATAGCGTTGCATTCTTAGCAAGCGGTGTAGTTTGTTTTGATTTAACCAGGCAAAATGTCAAACTCCTGCTTCGGTTATCTTTAAAATAATCCTGGCAAGGTCAGCGAGCAGAGGTCTTGGCATCCACCGTAGCAGAGAATTTATGTTTCTGGGATTGTTTCAGCAGCACCTTCAGTTTCACGTGAAAGCAATAGTTTTGATGTAGTTCACAGAGATCTGTAACACGTGGCCAAAAATACGGACGTGTAGCTGTGTCTTTACATTTACTGTACCCTAAAATAGCTTTCAAAACATCAGTATCGTAAGTAATTCTACTTTGTGTTTCTTCACAGTACTGGCATAAAGGATGTTTCCACTGTGAAGTTTGCAAAATGGCTCTGAACATGAATAACTACAAAGGATATGAAAAGAAACCTTATTGCAATGCGTAAGTATAGTAAATGTCAAGTCTTGCAGAAATGCACGTGAAGAGAAAACCTAGCTGTGGATATTGTCAAATAGGTATTGTCGTGCTGTAAAAACTTAATCTAGAAATGTAGTAGAGCAGTCTAGAGCAGTTTAGTGTCTTTTCAGATGGCGTATTCTACTTGCATTGAGGTGATAGAAGATGAAAATATTTGATTATGATGTGTTTAGGCAGTGTTTTGATATCAGATCTCAGGATACGGGTCCTTTCCTCCCAGAAAGTGTCAGATCCGGTGCTGACTCCTATTACATTCATTATTGGCCTGCTGGATTACAGTTGTCCATTATGCAGCTCTCTGTTCAGGGTTACAGACCTGATCAGCATTTTGCACTAAGAAAACAAACAAAGTGCTTCTTGGTTGTGTAGTTTAGAGACAATATCCTGTTAGAGATTGTGACAACCCATTTTTAAAACTGTTACGTTGTTCACATATCTCAGATTACTAAACTAGATATTTACAAAATCCCCACTTCTGGTGCTTCATGCTATTTTGTATTTTGCTTCTCTCTTAGATTTTGATAGAATAGATTCCTTTTGGTTGTAGAGTACAATCGTGTTGCATTCCACTTTTAGATTTTGTTGTTGTGTGGATTTTGAAGAGCGCTTTAATGTTTGACTTGCAAATACTGCAGAAGAGCAATTTGATACATGTAGAAAAAAGGTGCTTATTGTTCTTTGTACCATGCTCCTACATCCTTAGATTTGGTATGTGCATTTCAGTATGTTCTAATCTGTAGAAACATTTATAATATGCTTTGTTAGAAAGATATCTCTAAAAAATTTGGAATCAAATTTGATCCTGTGTTATATGTTATTCATATATGGTTATTATTTTTACCTTTACCTACTTAAAACATATGCTTTAAAGAGACAGAATTTTGAAACTACAGAGACATTGAAATTTTTTCAGAAATATTCTCCTTTACATCTTAAAATATTTGTTTCATGTTGAGGTAGACAGTCTATGCCTGGCCCTCACAGAATGGTTCAACAGCATATGCTCATTTCTTCCAGGCTAAAATTGAAGCCAGCCAGTGCCTATCTGTCTAAAATATGAGGTTTTTTATAAAAACTGCTGTGCTGCCAAAACTTGAAACACCTGTTTCAGTGTGCACAGTTGTACTCTAGATTGCTTTAGGAACATATGGAGTTACACACATACATTTCTAGCTTTCCTTGGAAGTGCTCTACAGTGTCTGGGGGTGACATCAGACCTCTTGTAATAACGTGTGGTTGGTTGCCCGTCTTAGGTGCTGTAGAGAAAGCTCTGTAGGAAGGGAGATCCATGCTTCAACAGGTGGCATACTGCAAGCTGAGAGTAACCTAAAGGTTATTGGCCCTAGATGGGACTCTGCTTTTGGTACTGTTTGAGTTGAAGTATAAGTACAGGCTTACATCCTTTACTTTGGTGCCTTTTGCCTAAATTTTTGTGGTTAAATTTCAGTGATGATACTTTGGTTGTTTGATCTTTCCTATGTAATCAGATACTTACTTGTACTTAGTAACGCTGTTTGTTTACAGTCTTCTCCGTGCTATACATTGGTGTTTCCACGCTGTGCATATTTAACTTCTGTTGTAGGAGAGTTTTTCGTCTAAGTAGTTATGCTACCTGGTGTGTCCTTCTATTTACAGATGAGGGGGAATAAGGATGACAGATATGTTATGTACCGTTCGGGTGCTATTCTTCCTGGTAGTTGCTTTAATGAGCTTTGTAATAGCGATCCTTGAAAAAATAATCTTTATCTTTGAAATGTCTCTCAAACGTGATGTATGAAACGGGAAGAAACAATGGAAAACCATGAAAGAATGGGTTTCTTCTATTAAAGAAGAGACAAAATTTAATGTATAATATCAACAATGTGTATTTTGTTGTTAAGTTTCGGTAAACTTAACTTTTTTTGTTTGTTTGTTTTGTATTTTTTTAGAGAAACTTTAATCAAATAATCTAAATATTTTTAAGTGTTCTGTGGAACTGTGAAGGGAAGACCAAGGTGTGCTTTGTGGTTTCAACAAACTTTAATATCCTTCAAAGGAGGGATGTTTATGCAAAACTGTGTTTTGAAAATACAGTTGCTTTAAATTATCATATTTTGACACCGTACTCTTGCATCTCAAAGGTTACTTATTTGCAAAACAGGCACCATTATAGTATTTCAAATTATGATGTGTCTTATCTAGTGTTCATTAGTAAGAAGCAAATCCATTTTTATGTTAAATACTGCATGATCAGAAAATCTGTGAAGAATGCAAATTTACTCATACAAACACCTACAAGCACTTGACAAAGTGCAGTTACTGTTACACTGTTTATTGAGGTCATCCATCAATGAGAGTGTAATTTGTAGATAAAAGTGAAGAAGTATGCACTAATTTGAATGGAAGAGCAATACCACAAAGAAAAGTGAAGAAGTATGCACTAATTTGAATGGGAGAGCAATACCACAAAGTTGTTTAACAGGTTTGGAAGCCATAGTTAACTTTTTGTAAGGACAAGTTGAAAAGCAGGTATCGTCAATAATTTCTGTATCTGTTTGTTAGTTCACAGGTTAGATAATGCACTTGAGTATATTTTGACCTTTGAACTTAAAATGTTCCACTCTTTTTTTTCAGGTGCTGAAATTAATAATTTTTGCTGCATTACTGGCACAGATCAGAAGTTACTTTTAACTGTAAAATGTAATTGTGTTTCCATTAATATAAGAAAAAGATACTGATTTGTGAATGTTTCAACTATACTTCTGGTGGAGGAGAGTAAAGTCAGATGGATTAACAGGAACTAGTGAACCAAGAAGGAATATATTGTGAAATACTTTAATTCAGTGTCCATTAGAAAAGAGCAGAAGTAATTGTAAATGCAGGATTCCTCTTTTTTTGAGGGCAAGTTTTTTGTTGGGCAGTGTGCCACATTTCCAGCTAAATGGTTGTATATGTTCCTTGTGATAAGGATACACTGATAGCAAAAGTAATGACTGAGCTACTGATGTAGTAGAGCTGGTACAGGTCAAGAAGCTGAGTTGCCTAGTATTGCACTTCTGATACTGATTTTGTAAGTTGTAGATTTACGAAGGATTTTGCAACTGGGTTATGAGGGAAAACTTTGTCTACATGTCCTTGTGTGTAATATGGCTTTGAAAAGAATGATCTTTGTATCACAGAGTTTTCATGAAGTTCCTTGATCTGTCTCCTTTAAACCTTTCAGTATTCTTACCTGCAGAGAAAAGATTATACAACTTTGTTTTCTCTTTTTTATCTTTTACATAATTTGTGAGCTGTTTGAGTCAGGATAGTTTATATCTGCTTGTTTGTTTAGTGCTTAGAATATAGCACTTCTGTCTCAGCTGGAACCTCCAAGTAATACAGTACTCTCATGACTTACAGTATTGTGTTTCTCACTTGACTTGCATTCACGTTTCATCTGAAAGGCCTCATACATAATGTTTTGAAGCTTGTAGATGCTTAGCACAGGGACACTGCTAGGTTTGCCTTAACAACTTTAGTCTTGCCTTTTATTTGCGTGTGACTTAGATATGCCATGTTGCCAGAAAGCTGCCTAGTTTGTGAAATAATGTTGATGAGACTAAGGGCTTGTTGTCCAGTTTTGCAGTTCAGCCAGGTGCTATGCGTTGCCTGAAGCAGGTGAATGAGCCATTCTTTGTCTCCCTAAATATGCATATAGGTAGTAAAAGAAAGGTTAAGACCATTAAAATGGCTTGGGTAATCCAATTATTTGTAAAATCAAGGTGGCTTTAATGCAAATCTGAACCCCTATTCCACTTTAATATCTGCAGACAGAGATTATGAAATACATGTTTAATATATATGGAAATGATAAGAAGAAAAGTTGTTGTTGTTGTTGTTGTTGTTGTTGTTATTTGCAAACTCAGGGCTCATTCTTCCCAGCTGCAACTAACCAAGATGATGCAAGGAAATGAATGGCATTTTGGCTGCTAACCATCTGTGTACTAGTTCTCAACCTTGTTAAATGATTGAATCATGTAGGATGATTATATGGTAACTGATTCTTACGAATATTCATATAAATACTTTTTTGACAGATTCACTAGACCAAAACACAAGGCTACTTTTTATGCAAAATGTAGAAGCTGAAAATAATGTTTTTGGAATGTTCTCTCCACATTAGCTATACCTGCTGATGCAAACAGACTTTCTGCATGTGTGAACACATCTGACAGAGATGTATTTTTTAATTTCTGCAATACCTAATAGCTTAAGCTTCTGCAGACCTGATATACCCTCTTGCCAAAGGCAAACAACCTCACTATTGGAATAAATCCTTCTGAAATATTTAGTAACTAAAATTTTGCTAATCGCCTGCACATAGGGTAGCTTCATTCAAGTTTTTATTTATGACAGTCACCATATGGAATGATTACATAACTTAAAAATTTAAATCTACTGTCATCAGTCTTAGTGTGGATTATTGGCATGAAGAAAAACTCATCATCACTTTATTTTTTTCTAGACTTAATTTCTTTTTAACTCATGCCAGTAGGAAATAGATATGCAAATACATTTGAAATATTGTGATGTTGTTAGAAGAATTGTACTACAGTTCCAGCCTGCAAGTGCAGTCAAACTTTATATTTTAAGATAATATAGGAGAGGGATGAAAAATTTCAAAGTTACTTTATACCAGCTTGGAAATGGTAAGAACATGGTGCAACTTTCTGGACAGTCAGATAGGCTGGAAAGTGGAAGCAGTTGCTTGTAATCAGTGGATGAAAGCAGCCATTAAATGAAACCCATTGTCCTGAAAGGTGAACTTGTGTATAAAAGTTTGGTTTTAGCTGTGAAACACGAGCAGGTTTTCTTTCTACCAGTCAGAAAACTTCTAGAAGGTGACTAGGAGTATGATGATGATATTCTTGCTAAAAATAGCTATCATTATCTTATTTTTCAGTATTGATTTCAGCAGGTGATTATTTCCTAGTTTAAATATG